CTCCTCCTCCTCCCTCGGACAGGGACCTCCTCCTCCCTCGGACAGGAACCTCCTCCTCCCTCAGACAGGCACCTCCTCCTCCTCCCTCAGACAGGAACCTCTTCTTCCTCCCTCAGACAGGCACCTCCTCCTTCCTCAGACAGGAACCTCCTCCTCCTCCCTCAGACAGGAACTTCCTCCTCCCTCAAACAGGAACCTCCTCCTCCCTCAGACAGGGATGTCTTCCTTCCCCACACAAGGACCTCCTCCTTCACACTGGTTCTCTGCCTCCATCAGCGGGGGACGCACCCCCCCACTCACCCCACCGCAGGGACACTTCGGCCCCAGGTACTCACTCCTGGCCAGGCCCAGGGGGCTGTCCCGGCTGTACTCGAGCCGCAGCTGGGTGATGTAGTTGCAGCAGTCAAGGAAGGCCTTGATGCAGGCCTCGCCCAGGACGTACTGGCTCCTGTGCTCACACGTGAAGCCCATGGGGTTCTCCCGCATGCCGCCCTCGCAGCACTTGCGCTCCTCCTTGTCCTGGTACTGGCCCGCTGGGAGAGCCCATCAGAGCCTCAGCCGTGGTGCCTCAGAGCAGGAGGCACACAGGGCAGACCACAAGGAGGACTTCCCCACAGCCAGGTCTTCCCTCCTCCCCCCTGCAAGGCCAGATGGGGACCCAGGTCAAGAGTGCGGGTGGGGAAGGGGCAGCGGAGCCTCCCACCTTTGTCTGTCCTCTTTTCCATCAGCTGCACGGAGCGACGCCGGCGAGACACTGGCTGCGGGCACTTGGGATCTATGAGGGGCAGGTGGGATGTGCTCGTTCCTCACAATAGTCATAAATGTGAGCCGCCATTGTTCCCATTAGACAGATGGGGAAATTGAGGCTAAGAGAAGTGCTTTGCTCATTGGTGGTCGAGGCAGGCCCCCATAACTCCAGGGCCCTACTCATAACCGCTGAGGCATGCTGACCCCCTGCATTCGAGGCGTGGGGGCACTACCCTTTTTGGATTGGACACTAGCTGTTCCCCCACCTGTTCTCTGGTCAGTGTGCAGGCCTTTGCTGGTCTGAAGAGCCAGGCCTGCATCCATGAAGACGCCAGCAAAGTCCTTTCCGCTGCCTGGGGTGCAGCCAATGTCTGCCTTCTCCACCACATCCCAGATCTGGGGAGTTTAGAGGGCCAAGGATTAGGGGAGACCAGGCCAGCAGCGCCTCCGCTGACTCACGGATACGTCTATCTGTGTGTCTCTTCCTAATCCCGCTCAACCTTCCCCCTTCCGCACTCAGTCCTCCCCAGACCAATCCTATTGATTACCCCCCAGCAAGCCCCTCCTATTCTGATCTTCACCTCCACCTTAACCCCATCCTTATCCCCACACAACTACCATTCTCAGCCCAGCCTCATTATCACTGCTGTCCCCCATTCCTGCCTGGCCCCAACTCCGTCCTATCATCAGTCCCATCACAACTCCATTCCTAACTCTAACTCAGTATCATGCTCAAGTTCATTCCTAACCCGACTCCATCACCACTCCAAACTCTTCTCTAACTCTATTTTGTTCTCTGTCTTCACTCCCAAACCACCATCATTCCCAACTCTACCCTAAGCCTATTTTCATCTCCTTCTCCATCCCACTTCCAGTGCAGCATCCTTCCCAAATCTATGCTATCCCCACTTCCACCTACATATTGTCACCAAGTATATTTTTTTACCCCATTCCTGTCTCCATTCCCAAATATACTTTCAAACTCATTCCCAACCCATCACCACTTCCAAATCCATCCTAACTCCATACTTATCTCTATCATCAACTCTATTTCTATCTCCATCCTAACCCTATGCCCATCGCCGCATCTGTCTCCATCCCCGATCCATCCTCACTTGCCATCCTACAGTCCAGCTCCATTTCCACACCCTTCTCCAGTCTCAGCCTCATTCTTATCTCTATTCTCCATTCCATTTCAACTCAACTCCCACCTTCACTTTTATTCCCAACCCCGGCCTCAACTCATCCTCATTCCCAGCCCTCTCCTGATCTTCATTCTCACCTCCAACCATCTTCATTTCCAACCATATTCTCATCTGCATATCCAATCCATCATTATTTCCAGTCTCTCTGAACTCCATTCCTGACCCTCTCTCTGTTCTCCCTTCAGCTGCATTTGCAGCCCTTTCCCCAGTACCAAATCCAGCCCAGCTCCATCCACATCCCCAATCCCATCTCTATCTCCATTCCCAGGCTTTCCAAAATTAGGAACTCCATAGCAGGCAGCCATTGATCTTGAGAACCATGCAATAATGAGAAACTGCCCTTCTACCCGGCCATACTCACTTTTATCAACATCTCCATCCTCCACTTTAACACCGACCCACTCCATGTCTGTGTCCGTTCTAATCTCCACTTCAAGTCCACGTCTAACCCCGCTCCATCGTGTTCCTCAGCCCTAGTTCCCACCTTTGGCTCCTTCAAGTCCTCCCCAGCCTCAGCGGACGGAGGTGCACACCTTACTCTGAGTCATCTTGTTCTTCTTGTTCAGCACAAACACACCCTTGTCCACAGCTACAAGCCCCACTCGGGCCCCCGTGTCAGCTTCTATCTTAAGGGTCGTCTGCTGTCCTGGTAAATGTGACTTCTCATCCTTCTCACCACTTTTTACCACCAGCTGTGGGGAGAGCAGGGGCAGAGGAGTCAGCCCTTCCAGGCTTCTGTTCTGGTCGGCCTAGGACAGAGGAGGCCTTGGGCGGGAGGGAAAGGAGAGACAGGTGGAGCCAGAGAAGAAAGATGGCTGAGTTGACGACAGAGAGAATTACATGGAAAGAAAGCAAAGGGAAGGTCAATGTGCCCAGGTCAAAGGCAAGAGAAGAGAAAGAAAAGACGGGCAAGAGAAAGGAGGCACCAGGCGGAGCAGAGACTCACTTTGTAGGGAGACCCTCACTGTGTGGGCACGCAACCCCTCCGTGTGGCTGGGAACCCCTCCACGCAAAGAAAACATCTCCGTGGGAATGAGAAGACCCCTTATACAATAGGAGGACCCCACGATGCAACTGGAGAACTCCATCTAAATGAAACCTTTCCATGTAAAGGACAGACCTCCCTGTGCAAATGAAGACCCCCCCACCCCACCCACCCACTGCTCAGATGCCCTCTATGCAAGACAACTAACTATTCACCAAGTTGGAGTAGAACAGAGGGACAAGGGACAGGAAAAGTGGTAAAGAGACAGGCTCCCCAAGCTGGACCCAAGGAGATACCGTAGGAACTCACCGTGCCCACGCAGGAGTCCTTGACATCCACCCACACGGAGTCAGCCACTATCTCTCTCTGGCCGTTTGCACCTATCAGCGTGTAGTAGGCCAGAATGCGGAAGGAGGGGATGAAGTCGGTGGTGATAGTCAGAGATAGCACTACCAGGTCCTGGCCAGGCTCCCGCACCTGGCGTCCTACCTTCAGCAGCTTCCCCTTGTTCATGATCTGAGAAGACAGGAACAGAGGTGGGTGGGGGTCAGGAACTGAGGAGCAGCCCAAGCCAGCCAAGCGAGGTGGAGAGGCTGAAGGTGGTACCGACCAGGTAGGTGTAGTACCGAATCCTGCTCTGCAGGTTGTTGTCCGCTCGCAGGTGAAAGTTGATGTTGAGGGTCTCCCCTGGCTTGAGCTCAAAGCGAGGCACAGAGATGTGCAGGTAGTTGTTGGAGTTACCCATGGGGTTGTAGGGCTGGGCGACCATCGTCCTGGAGGCCTGTCTGGCGTCTGGGATGCCGTTCTTATTGGTTCGTACCTAGGTGGGGAGAGAAGTGTGAATTAGATGCCCACAACCAGATGCCTGGCACCCACAGGAAGAGCACCTTGTCTAACAAAAAGGGACTTTACGGGGGAGACCGAGTTAAGAATGCTGAGACGGCATCTCAACAAGAAGAAGACAAACAACCCAATTACAAAAGGGGCAGAGGACACGGATAGCCATCCACCAAAGACTCTCAGATGGCCAACACATGGAGAAATGCTCAGGGTCATTAGCTATATATATTATAGTATATATTATATTCTATCATATTCTATTTATTATATTATATTATATTATATTATATTATATTATATTATATTATATTATATTATATTATATTTATTATAGTATAGTATAGTATGTCATATTAATTATATCATATAATATTTAATTATATTAATTATATTATATTTATTATATTATATTTATTATATTATATTCAGAAAGAATGAGATACCATCTCTGGGTCTCTAAGGTTTATCATTCCAAATATCTTTCCTAGCCATCAATGAACTGTTGATTTTGTGTTGAAATATTTACTGTATTAAGGAAAGAAGATTAGGATGGGATACAAGCCTCACCCTACTAGAGGCTTATATAAGCTCATGGGACCTCAGTGTCAGCTCTCTTCATCTTGGGACACCTACCTTCAAGGGATCGTCTACAATGCTCATCAGTCTCGGCATAACCAGCCTGCATACCTACAGTCACATGAGTCATTTCCCTGATGGATCTGAGTCTCTGGGAGACCGTCCAGTGAAGCACAGGACCCACAAAGCATGCAGGAACTGGGGAACTGACCAGAGGAGGAGCTGTGGATGCTGGAAATCATGGACTTAGCAGGTCAAGCATCAGGGAAAACATTGACTTGAGATGTCTTATACTTGATCTGCTACTAATCTTAGGAGAATGAATTATAAAAACACCATCCCACCTCAGCAACAATACAAAGTTTGATAAGACAGCAAACAACAAATGCTGGTGAGGTGGTAGAAAAATTGGAACTCTTGTATACAACTGGAGGGAATGTAAACTTGTGCAACCTCCTCACCCCAGTAAGAATAGCAAAATTTAACAGAACAGCAAGCGTCAAGTGCTGGAGAGGTTGTGGAGAAACTGGAACCCTTATTCACTCTTGGTGGGAGTGAAAAATGGTGCAAACACTATGGAAGGCTGTATGGTGCTTTCTCAAAAAGTTGCAAATAGAGATACCATTTGACCCAGCAATTCCACTACTGGGAATATACCCCAAAGAGACCATAACTGCTACCCAAGCAGATATATGCACACCCATGTTTACTGTGGCTTTGTTCACAATAACAAAGAGCTGGAAACAACCCAAGTGCCCATCAGCAAACGAATGGATAGAGAAGCTCTGCTATATTCACACTATGGAATACTTTGCAGCATTGAAAAACAAGGAACTCATGAAATATTATGCAAAATGGATGACCGTGGAGGACATTATGCTGAATTATGCTGAGTGAACTATCTCAGTCACAAAAGGACAAATATTGCATAGGGCCACTGTTGTAAAACAGGACTGACATTGGGGTTGAGGGAAGACAGAGGAGGAGGGGAAGAATGATGTATATGGCATTGAAACAGGTGAGGGAGAGAACTATTTAAAATGGATACTAAGGTGCGTCTGATACAGGCCATGGTCTTTGCCATCACTTGTTATGCATCAGAGAGTTGGACAATGACTAAGGAAGATAGAAGGAGAATTGATGCCTCTGAGCTGTGGTGCTGTGGAGAAGTGTATTGAGGGTACCATGAACTGCTAGGAAAACAAACAGATTCATCCTGGAAAGGGTCAAACCAGGTGGCTCCTTGGAGGCAAGGATTCTGAGGCTCCATCTAACATACTTTGGACATGTTGTAAGGAGGGACCAGTCCTTGGAGAGGACCTCATACTTGGGAGCATGGAGGAACAGTGCAGGAGGGGAAGACTCTCTATGAGGTGGATTGATTCAGTGACTGGGGTAATCAGGATGGGAGTGTCCGAGACAATGTGATTGGCACAAAACAGAGCAGGGTTTAGGGCTGTTGTACATAGGGTCGCTATGAGTCGCAAGCGACTCGACGGCACATAACAACAACAATATGATTGGGTATTATTGTCATGACAGGAGTCCAGAATGAAGGCTGCACAGTGGAGTGAACTTGGGGAAGAGATTGCTTAACAATGAAAGGGTTTTACTTTTGAAGGAGAGGAGTGAATTGGGGGACAGGGAGAAAAATGCAACAGTGAATGTCTGGAAACTCTAAGTCTCTGTAAACTTTCATTAAAATTAGTTTAAAAAATCTTTTAAAAAATAAAGAAAAAGGTAAAAAAATATATCAAGACATATCAAAATCAAATTCTCAAAAATAAAATAATAGAATACTAAAATTGTGCAACCTCTGTGGAAAGCAGTTCCAGGCTTCCTTAGAAAGTCGAGAACAGAAATATCATTTGATCCGACAATTCCACCACTAGGCATATAGCCCAAAGAAGTAAGAGCTGCCACATGAAGTGATCAATGCATACCCAAGTTCACAGCCGCATTATTTACAATAATAAAGAGATGGAAACAACCGAACTGTCCAGCAGTAGATGAATAGATATACTGTACTACATTCACACAATGGAGTATTTTTAAAAGACAAAAAACCCCCACACACAATCCTCTCATTGTTGTCTAGTGGGAACCCACTCAGAACCGAGCCTTCAGCAAATTTTGGGGGACTGTAAATCCCATGGATGGAGATTGCCCGTCTTTATCCCACAGAGCAGCTGGTGGATTCAAACCACCAGCCTTTGGGTCCACAGTTCAACTCTTTTATCCTCTAGGCCACCAGAGCACCCTCTAGTATTATGCATCACTAAAAAAAAAAAAAATCAAGAATTTGTGAAACACTATGTGTTGGGCTCACTTAGAGCTGCTGCAGGCACAGGTCACATCACCCCCTTATCAGTTCTGCATTGTGTCTGAAAAGTATCATAATACATTGTCTTTCTTTACCTATCTAGTGTCTGTATGTCTATGGCAAACCTCTGAGGAGGGCTTGCTAGTCCTTTTTGAGGTGTCCAACTCTGGGAAATTCATGCAATTGAACAGAGGCTGACATTGCACAACATAGATCATTCTAGTACAAACTGCACTGAGAGCAGGAAAGAGGAGTCAGAGAAGGGGATGCAAAGATGAAAGCAGACCGCAGGGAAGGGGAGACTGGAAGACGCCATGCTGCTGGCTTTGGAGATGGAGAAGGGACCACTAGTCCAGCATGTGGGGGTCTGTAGAATCTGAAAAGCCCCACCCACCGGGGATGAATTCTTCCAGAACCTCCAGGAGGAATGGGGCCCCACAGATCCATTCTGGACTTCTGACCTCCAGAACTCTCAGGTGGTAAACCCATGTAGTTTCAAGTCTCAAAAACTGGGATAAAGTGTTATAGCAGCAAGAGCTGATTAATACATGTGCTTCAAGCAAAGACGGGCAGCCCAGCAGCCTGAGAGAAGGACAGAAAGCAGCCTGAGGACAGCTGCATATACCTACACCCTGCACACGAGACATGTCTCTGCCCATGAGGTGTAAACTCAGCCAAAGCCGAGGAAGCCAGCAGAACCGAGTCCACCACACTCATGTCTACACTGCAGAGCCCCTCCCAGCAAGCTGCAGATCCCTGGGTGTGGGAGGGAACCCTGCGTGCATGGTGGAGTCCTTCCAGATCGAGCCTACAGCATGGCGGTTAAAGAGTCCTATTCACGAACCCTACCAAGCCAGCCCAGGACTTCAACTCTCTACAAATGAAGACATCTCTCTGGTAGGGCAGGGCCCTTCTGTGCCCATAAAGGGGTCTTCCTGGTGGGGTATGAAGGATGGGCTCACCGTGATGGACTGGGGGCTACGGCTATTGGGCATGTTGATGGTCAGTTTGGCCACACCATCCTCCTGGGTTAGGGACTGCACTTTGGTGTTGGGGTCCATGACAGGGACGTGGTGGGCTGGAGAGCCATCGGGGTTTGTCACAAAGACCTGTGAGGAGGACAGCAGGTTGAGAGGAGTTGGGTATGTGGGGGTTTGGGGGTGGATAGGGCCTCCAGGGGCACAGGTGGACCCCCACCAGGGACTCACCATGAGGTCGAAGGGCATGGCTGGCTTGAAGTACTTAGGGGTCTTGGTAAAGTGGATCTGGTATGGGGAGACTACGATGGGGATCCCGGTGAGCTCTGCTTCCACCATGTCGCTGCCTAGGGTGGGGGTGAGGATGACCATGAGGGCAGACTTCTAGGCCCTCCTCAGGCCTCTCTTGAAGCCCAGTCTGACCCCATTGCCACCCTTAGACTGGACACCACTCCCCTTTCAGACTGGACCCCACTTTCCCCCTCAGACTGGACCTCCTCTCAGTGAGACCTTCCTCCACCCTCAGACAGATTCATCCTTTGGACCTTGGGCTTCCTCCTCTGGAACCTCCCTTCTCAGACTGGACAGCCCACCATCCACCCCTCACCTGAGTGCAGGATGACAGTGGCAGACACATACAAGGACCTCCCGACCAGGGCGTCGGCATTGGAGGGCTCCACCCCCTTCAGCAGAACGTCTCTGCCCAGTACGGCTTCCCCAGTACCATCCTCGATCTGGAGGGAGATGATGGATCAGGATGGGAAGAACTTGGGTAGGGGGAGCTTCAGATGTTGGGAGGGTGGCATGGGAGTGAGGCCAGAGAGAGCTGGGGAAACCCTCAGAAGACCAGAGACAGTGGGGGGAAGATTCATCATGAGGAGGTTCACAGTGGGGAGATGGCCTTGGGGGGACGGGCTCAGAATGAGGGAGAGGAGGAAGAGTTTAGAGGGAGAGGAACTGAAAGGGAGAGAGCTCAGAGAAAGAGGATCTCTGAGGACGAAGCCTCAGAGGGAAAAGGGCTTAGAGTGGGGATGGGCTCAGAAAGTGAATTCAGAGGGGAAGGATTCAGAGGAGGAGGGCCTCAGAAGATGGGGAACTCCGAAGGACAGGGTTAGGGAAGGAAGTCAAAGAGGGAAGGGCTCAGAGAGGGAGGTCTCAGAAAGGTAGGGTCTCAGTGGGGGAGGTGCTCAGAGTAGAAGACCTCAGAGGAGAAGGGCCTCAAAGAGCAGAGTCTCAGAGTGCGACTGAGACAGGCAAGGGGTCAGGGTGGGAGGGGTCTTGGCCTGGGGGGCCTCGGTCTGGGGGGCCTCTATAAGGTACCAAGACACGGGAAAGGGACTGTGTCAGTGAGATCCTCTGGTCACCATCTTGCATGCCGAAGATGACGAAGGCCATTCCTTCCACGTTCTTCCCATATAAGAACCTAGGAGGTCAAGGGAGTCTCAGAGCCCCCCACTCTTGGAAAGCCGGCCTTCCCCCAGGAATGCTTGAGGACCCGAGGACCCAGAGCCCTGCTCCCACCCCCTCACCTGGCCGTGATGGTGACATGGAAGCCCTCCTGGTCGTCCACGTAGTAGAATTTCTCTGCCGGCTCTATTTGGACCTCAAAGCTGGGCAGCACTGGGGGAGAGAGAGATGATGTTATTGGGGCCAGCGGGAGCCGGCATTATGGGGGGGGGCACACCCCTGCTTCTTCCTTACCATACTCCCTCAGCTCAAACTCAGTGGAGAAGACCTGTTGCGGGGAGTCTTCGTAGTGCGCTTGGATCTTCCACTGGCCCAAGCTGGAGGGCGGTAAGGGGGCAAGGCTGGGTGAGCAGTCTGACCGCTGGAAGTCCCCCGACTCCGGCCCCCGCGGATAGGGGTCCCACTCCCCCAGGAGGGCCTGCCATACTTGACCAGTTCCGGAATGTCCCAGGACAAAGACAAGATGCCGATCTTGTTGGGAGAGGACATGGACTCTCTCTTGATGGTAATGCCATCGGGGGTCTGCAGGGAGGGGAGGGGACAGGTGTCAGGCTACTAGGCTCAGCGTCTGCCCACTCGAGGGGTGTTCAAAGCGTGAATCAGAATTCAAACCTCCACAAGTGCTGCTTGCAAGCTGCGTGACCTTGAACAAGTTCCTGAACTGCTCTGTGCTTTAATTTGCATAGCCATAACATGCTGTTTTTGTTATATGCCGTTGAGTCGCTTGTGACTCATAGTGACCCTATGTACAAGAGCCCTAAACCCTGCTCTGTCCTGTGCCAATCGCACTGTCTCTGACACACCTACCCTCATTACCCCAGTCACTGAATCAATCCACCTCATAGAGGGTCTTCCTCTCCTGCGCTGTCCCTCCACCCTCTCAAGCATGATGTCCCTCTCCAAGGACTGGTCTCTCCTTGCAACATGTCCAAAGTATGTCAGACGAAGCTTCAGAATCCTTCCCTCTAAGGAGCATGCCTGTTTAACCCTCTCTAGGATGAACCTGTTTGTTTTCATTCAATACTCTTCTCCAGCACCACAGCTCAAAGGCATCAATTCTCCTTCTCAGAGAGCCATAACATAGAACTAATAATAAAAGCACCAGGATCCCTGGAGAGCCGGAGAAGAGCCCCAGACCCAGGTAAACACTATGACAGATGCAATCCAAAATGATCACTAATAACAGAGAATCACGTACACGTGGGCAGCCAGGCAGCCAGGATGAACAGAACAGGCAGGTGCAAAGGGTAACATCCAATAAGTTAACAACAACAAGGTAACACCTGCTTTATTATCTTGGCAGAGAAAGAGAAGATCCCCATAACCTTGAACTGCCCTCAGGGCCCCAGCAATGGACTTGATAGGACAAGGTTCAGGTCTGTTATCATAGATAGGATTGCTGTGGTCAACTCAATGGCATCTAACATTATCTTGGTACATCCATGAGCTCTCTGTTATCAGCGACTTGGAGTAAAGATTTTCAGTCTGGAGAACCCAGCGGGCTGCTCTCCTCTGGCCTCCAGGGTCACCAAGTTGGGCGGGGGTTTGGTTTGAGGTTGGCTGATGCTGGGTATCCTGTGTCTTGGAAAGAGGGCCTTATTTCTACTCCTCACCCCGTCCCCTCCTCACTCCCTACAGCCGTATGTTACAGGGTAGAGCGACTCTATAGCTGTTTATTTTGGCTTTGCTTTTGCCATGTTTGTCTGTGGTTTGGGGTGCAAGTTTACCAAGCAAATGGGTTTCTGAGGTCTAGACCTCATGCTCTGGGCACCGTCTGCTCTCCCAGCAGTGCCGTCCACTCTCTCTCTCTCTCTCTGTTCCCATCTTTCCAGCCGCCCCGCCTTCCCACGCCCCCTGCCTTCCTGACTTTGCTCGGGGCCACTGCTGCCTTTGGGCCCCCTATAGGCTCACTTGGGACACCTGTGCTTTGTGTATCTGGAAGGTGACCTCTGGGAGTGGCTATTGAGTTTCTTGGCTATGATCTTTCTGGACCCAGATCACCAGGCCTTTCTTCCGAGGCGCTGCTGGGTGGAAGGAACCGCCTACAGTAGAGTGCAGACTTCTCAAGCCTCCCAGAGACCTTCAGGTGTGGGACTTGCTGGAAACACCTCCCTCCCTTCTCTGCAGGTCTAATTAGTGTAGAGGAGAGGAGGAGGCGATGGCAGGGAGGGAGCAGGCAGGGGGAGCAGGTCCTCTGAACTCAGGGAGGACTCCTGGGGGTGCTGGGGGCAGAGGGACAAGCATGACTCAGGTGCTCACAGGCCCCATTTGTCAACCAGGACGGAGAACAGAGAACACGCAGTAATTATCTGTCACTGTCGCAATGTGCAGGTGCAGACTCTGGCTCAGGAGGGAGAACTGACCTGCCCAGAGTCCCACGGAACCCACAAGCACACCCGCCTCTCTCCCCCTGCCTCACTCATCTCTTTCTCTCTCCCCGAGTTCCTCCCCCTGTGGCTCGGGATCCTGGCTGACTGGTACCTCGATGGTGATGACCACAGTCCGGCCCACAGGCAGCAGCTCATGGTCCACGGAGAAGATGCGATAGAGGACTGGGGGGGAGTGGAGAGAGAAAGGAGACCAGTGAGAGCCCCCCATCTGCACTGCCACTCCATCACCACATCACTACCATGCCCCTTCTCACCTGTGGAGCCCCTCACCCATGGAACCCACTCACCTGTGGAGACTCTCACCTGTAGAGCCCCTAACCTATGGAGCCCCTCACCTGTGGAACCCTCCCATCTGCATGTAGAGCCCCTCACCTGTGGAGCCTCTCACCTGTAGAGCTCACCCCTACATATGGAGCCCTCTCATCTGCGGAGCCCCCTCACCTGCAGAGTCCCTCACCTGTGGAGCCCTCTCACCTGTGGAGCCTCTCACCTGCAGAGTCCCTCACCTGCAGAGCCCCCTCACCTGTGGAGCCCCCTCACCTGCGGAGCCCCCTCACCTGCAGAGTCCCTCACCTGCGGAGCCCCCTCACTTGTGGAGCCCCCTCACCTGTAGAGCCCTCTCACCTGTGGAGCCCCCTCACCTGTGGAGCCCCCTCACCTGTGGAGCCGCTCACCTGCGGAACCCACTCACCTGTGGAGCCCCTCACCTGTATGCAGAGCCTCTCACCTGTGGAGCCCCCTCACCTGTGGAGCCCTCTCACCTGTGGAGCTCTCTCACCTGTGGAGCCCCCTCACCTGTGGAGCCCCCTCACCTGTATGCAGAGCCTCTCACCTGTGGAGCCCTCTCCCAGTGGAGCCCCTCACCTGTGGAGCCCGGGGTGTAGATGGTCTTGTCTGTCTGGATGAAGAGGTAGCCGCTCTGCTGGCTGACCAGCACCACTTTCTCCACCACGGCGGCCCCAAAGCTTGCGTGAATGACCACGTACTTGCTCCCCTTGCTGGACCACAGATCCTTGTTGGCGGGGATCTAGGCACAGAGTGACAGGCGGTTAGGGGATGGGCCAGGCCCGCTGTGCAGGTGCTGCAGGAGGGGGCCGACTGGGGAGAGCAGGGTCTGAATTGAAGGGGCCCGGAAAGGCAGGGCCCCGGCGGGGCTGTGGGCGCCGTGCCAGGCTGTCTACCTTGATGGTGACGCTGCTCATGTGGCTGTTCTCAGGGGTCAGCTCGGTCTTCTCGCTGAGCAGCACTTGCTTCTTGGCGGGGAAGTCGTGGACGGAGACGGTGACCGCGACCTTCCCCTGCACCTCGTGTGCCTCCAGCAGCACCGTCTCCTCATTGGCCAGCCGCAAGACGTTGGGAGTGATCATGGAGTACCTGAGGAGGGGGTGCGGGTCCCAGTGTCAGCTCAGCCTGTGCCAGGGGCACTCCTCCTGGCCACTGCTCTGGGAGGGCATCCAAAAACTGCCCTGGGGCCCTGCCAAGACCACATCTAGATCTGCATTCCTCTGGGGGCGGGGCGCTGTGAGAAGGAATGGGGCCACCTGACCCTCTCCTCATCTAGTCTGCCTGACCTCCTGGACAAGCCTACAGCTGGAGGCTCTGCCAGTCCCCCACAACCTCACAACTAAAACCAGAAAACGCGCGCGCGCGCACACACACACACACACACACACACACACACACACACACCTGGCAATCTTTCCCAGTAAACACTGGCCTGGGACAGCCCCATGCATCCAAGCAGATCTGTGCTCAGGGTCTGTCCACGGCTGGTGTTTTCAGAAGCAGATCACCAGATTTTTCTTCCAAAGAGCCTCTGGGTGGATTCAAACTTCCAACCTTTCTAACCCTTTGCACCATCGACATCTCTAAGCCAACATCTCCACACCAAACTCACTGCCATGGCGGCCCCTTGGCTCACAATGACCCTCCACCGGGTCTCTGGGGCTGGGGAATCTTTTTTGGAGCAGAGGTTTGGATGCAAGCCACCAACCTTTTGGTTATGTGCGCCACCACCAGGGCTCTTTCTGTATCTCTAACAATGCCAATTGCAGATCTTCCTGCTCTCTGAAAGTTCCCTTCTCACCCTTTCTCTTTTCCAAGTCCTGCGTCAGTGCCTGCTTTTTATAACTGAATGAAATCCAGCGAGAAGTTTCACTTTCAGGAATGAAGATAAACACAGCCCTCAGCGTTTGCTGGGCAGCGAGCCCTGAGCAAGGCTGAGGCTGGCATCTCAGCTCCATCCCAGCAACTGCACACATTGTGCTTTTTTTCTTTAGATGAGCTATGTAGTTACCAGGCGGCCTCATGCTAAGAAGCTGCACTGCAATCCCAAAGTCACGCAGTTCAAATCCAACAGCTGCTCGAACAACATCCTGCAGTGGCATTTACAGCCTCTGAAAACCCGTGGGAGGCTCAGCTGGGAGCTAGTTCCAACTGGGTGACACACTAAAGTATTCTTCTAGGCTTGACATGCTGTTTGCTTGATTTTGCTGAGTTCTTTCGAGGGGGGTGGAAGGTTTTTCCCATGAAAAGAGATCATTGTCTCACGTGGGGTTAATGGAAGGGTTTCATGGGATCGCTCTGCTTTTGGATAACAGAGTAAACTTCCAAGCGCTCAGACACTCACTGTACCTACTCAAACTCACATGACTTCTAAACTTCTTCAAACCTCAAAACCCCAAGTCCCAGAGCATCCAACACCTAAACCACTTAACACCTCAATCCACACATAAACCCCAAACCACCACAAACCCAAATCCCAAAACCCACAGTCATAGACGGCAATAAGCCCCCAATTGCAAATTCCTAAATCCTGTAAAGACCAAGCCGACAAACCCCGAAGCACAATCATCTAAACCCCACATACACCCAAAGTCCAAAACCCCTACCACTGTGGGCTCTAGGTTCTACCAACATTCAGGACCCCAAACAACATTCACAAACAATTCAGTTCGCCCCCCCCCCACACACACACACAGTCCCATAAACAGCTGAGCCCATAGATAGCCTGAATTTAAAAACAAGCCAGTATTTCTCAAACACCCAGTACACCAGGAACTCCTCGTGGATCAGCCATCCAAGAAGCAGCCTTGCTGAGGGGCTGTGATGACTTACATGGGGTCCCCCAGAGCCAGGGGAAGGCTGGCAAACAGCAGCAGCAGTAGGCTGGGACCTGAAGAAAGAAGGCCCATGGTGCAGGGACCTCGGAGGGGCAGAGGGATGGAGGGGCTGAGGGAAAGGAAGGGGACAGTGAGCAGGGGCCCCGGGAGGCCACCTCTTATCAGCCTCTAGCCCCGCCCTCCCCGCTCCCCGCCCCCTTTCCCTCCCGGGGACTGCCCCAGATTTCTCAACACTATTCACCATTTCCTTGATTTTTCAATGCCCTGGGTCAGCACATCATCCTGGGCTGAGTAACCCAAGGCCATGCCCTCCTCCATCCTGGGCACGCATACCTGCTCCCTGGCCCAGCCTCCCTCAGGGTCAGGGCCAGCTTGTGAGCTGGGACCTTTCCCTGTGATCCAACCGCTCAGCGCTGTGGGGACACTGAGGTCCAGAGAACTATCCTGTGCAGAGTCCATCCTTGTGCTGGGAACTGGATCTCCAGGACTCATTCCTGAAACTCCTATGCTGGGGGAGGGGAAGGGCTAAGGCTGGAGGTAAAGAATTGTGCTTCTAATTAATAATAATAATAATAATACTTCTTGGAGGGTCATGGAGAAGGGGCCACTTAAGCTGGACGTTGCAAGATGTCTAGAGCATCACTACCCAGATGAGTAGGGTGTTTTAAGAAAACGTCAGTCCTGGCATCCCCTGAAGAAGTTCTAGTACCTCATTGCTAAATGAAAGGTTGGCAGTTCAAAACCACTAGTAGCTGCACAAGAGAATAATATGATGAAGTGGATCAGCCTTGGACATCCTATGGGGCAGGTCTACTCTACCCTGTAAGACCATTCAGTGATAGCAATTAAGTTTTTGTTTTGTTCTACTTTTTTTTTTTTTTTTACTTTCTTGAGTCCCTGGATGGTACAATGGGGTTTTGTGCCCAGAGGAGCCTTAGAAGAATGAAAATCCTATGGAGTACCATTCTCCCTGACACAAACGGGTCTCCATGAATTAGAATCACTCCACAACAGTAGCACGGGTTTTTTTTATTTTAAATTTATTTTAATGAAAATTTACAGAGACTTTGGGTTTCCATTCATTCATTGTTGCACTTTTCTCCCTGCCCACCCCTCCCCCCAATTTGTTTTTCTTTTTGAAAAGTAAAAGAAAAATTCTTTCATTGTTATGCAATCCTTCCCCCCCCAAGTCCGCTCCACTGTGAAGCCTACAATCTGGCCTCTTGTCTTAACAGTTCTCTCCATCATCAGTATACATTATTTACCCTATCTTTCTCCATTTCCCCCCAACCCACATGTTAGTCCTCTTTTATAACAGTGGCACTATGCACTATTTGTCTTTTTGTGACTGAGATATTTCACTCAGCACAATGTCCTCCAGAGTCACCCATTTTACATAATACTGCATGAGTTCCTTGTTTTTCAATACCACATGGTATTCCATTGTGTGAATATACCACAGCTTCTCTATCCATTCGTTTGTTGATAGGAACTTAGGTAGTTTCCAACTCTTTGCTATTGTGAACAAAGCTGCAATAAACATGGGTGTGCATGTATCTGCTCTGGTGGCAGTTACGGTCTCTTTGGGGTATATTCCCAGTAGTGGAATTGCTGGGTCAAATAATATTTCTACTTGCAACTTTTTGAGAAAGTGCCATGCAGCCTTCCATAGTGGTTGCAGTATTTTTTATTTTTTTTAAACTCTCTTCACCTCCTCTTGTCAAAGGTGGAAGGTCAGTGAGAGAGAGGAAAACCCTCAATGAGATGGATTGACACAGTGACTGCAGCAACGGATTCGAGTGTGTCAGAGAAGATCAGGATGGCACAGGACGGGACATTCAGATCTGTCATTCATAGAGCTGCTATGAGCTGTACTCAGCTGGATGGCATCTAACAACAACAACCACCCACCTTTGTCAGGACTCACATGTCTGTGGTAGTTAACAAAATCATAGCTGAAGGAAGTCGTTGTTGTTGTTAGGTGCCATCGAGTCGTAGACAACTCATGGTGACCCTATGAATGAAAGACCTGAGCACTGTTCATACAGTTTCCCGAGGCAAGCCAGTTCTGAAGTAGATGCCACTCCTGCTTCTAGGCTTGTTTTAGTCAGGAAGCTCCAGCAAACACTGTCAGCCATGGGTCAACCATTATCACATTTGCCACATCAGTGTCACAGTGTTCAGCATCACAGCAACCATGAGTTACCTCTGTACAGCAGCACACAGACCAGTGCTGTACCACCTAGAAGAATGTTTGACAGGAAAACAATTTGAACCCTGCCGAGGACCCCAGATGAAAATCATCCACCTTTGGCTTGGTAGCATAGCCTTCTGTCCACTAGGCCAACATAGCTCTCTCTGTGCTGTCGTTGTTACTGTTGTTAGGTGCTGTCGACTCGTAGACTCGTATTCCTAGGTTTTTGTTATTTGTTCACTGTTGCACATTTTCTTCCCTCCCATCCCCTCCACCAGGCTTCCCCTCTTGTTCCAGATTGTGGTCATGTGTACAACACCTAATCACACGCTCCTCTGAGGCCCTTCTTCCTCTCTTATCTTTCCCGATGTAGTGTTTATTATCCAGCCACTCTTTAGATTTCAGACTCATCATCTCCCATCAACTCCATTTGCTATTGTTCTCAGGTCTGTTCTGTTCTGACTCATGGTGACGCCGTGTGTGACAGATGTGATCATACGCTGTCATCACAGGTGCTCAGGTCCACGGCTGCAGCCACTGGTCAGTTGGCCTCCCTGAAGGTCTTCCTCTTTTCCACTCCCGCTCTATGTGATCAAGCCTGATGCCTTCCTCCAGGAAATGGCCCCTCCTGAGACCACGTCCAAAGTTCACGATGGGAAATCTCACCAGCCATGCTTCTAAGGAGCACATTGGCTGCACTTCCTCCAAAACAAATCTATCTTTTCTTTCTGTCAGTTCAGTGTATTTTCTTCAACAATAGCACAATTTCAACACATCAATTCTCTTTCAGGCTTCCTTTTTCCTTGTCTAGCTTTCCCATGAGACCAGGCAACTGAAAGCCCTAGCTCTGGTGGCCTAGTGGTAAGAAGCCATGCTGCAATCCCAAAGGCATGTGGTTCGAATCCACTAGCTGTTCCACAGGAGAAGGATGGGCAATCTCCTCCTGTGCAGTTGACTGCCTCAGAAAACCCACTGGAGGGTCAGTAATGGCTTGGTTCTTACTCAACAGCACACAACAACAGCAACGACTTGTCTTGGGTCAGGTGCACCACAGTCCTAAAAATGACAGCTTTGCTTTTCAGCATTTTAATGATTATTCCCCCCAGCAGGTCTGCTTAACTAAATACATCATTTGATTTCCTGGGCTGCTGCCACCACTTTAGATCTAAGAAAATGAAGCCCTTGGCAACTTTAATCATTCCTCCATCTGTCATGATGTTGTCCGTTGATTCAGTGGTGAGGATCTTTGTCTTCTTGATGTTGAGATGTAATCCATATCTAAGGGTGTAGCCTTTGATCTTCAATTTTTTAAAATTTTCTTATTTTTTGTGTGTATTCCATCAAATCAGCTCTGACTGGTACAGGAGGAGATTGCCCCTCCTCCGGCAGAGTATCTGGTGGATTTGAACCGTGCACCTCTGGGCTTGCAGTGCAGCTTCTTGCCACTAGGCAATCAGAGCTTTCAGCCTCTGATCTTCTTCAGCAAGTGCTTCAAATCCTCTTTACTTTCTCTAAACATGGTTGTTTCATCTGCATAATACTGGTTGTTGATGAGTCTTCCTCCCAATCTTATGCCACATTCTTCTTCATATAGTCTAGCTTCTTGGATTATTTGCTCAGCCTAGAGGTTGGCTAAGCATAATGAAAGTTGGTAACACTGATGCATGCCTTTCCTGATTGCACCCCATGTTATTGTCATTGTGGTTGTTGTAGATCCATCAAGTTGAGTACACCTCGTAGCAACCCTAGAACAACAGCTGGGAACTTTGTCCCATCCTGTGCCATCCTCATCATCTCTGACACACTTGAGCCCATTGCTGCAGTCACTGCGTCATCTGGTTGAGGGTCTTCCTCTCTTTGTCCAACCTTCCACCTCTCCAAGCATGATACGTCCCCTTTTTCTGTTCAAATGATTTGATGGCTTCATGGCCTATGTACAGATTCTGGGTGAATACAAGCTGGAATTATCACTGTTCTCAATGTTATCTGTAATGTATTATGATCCACACAGTCACATTCTTTTGCATGATCAGTAAAACACAAGCAAACATTTTCACATCAGCAATGATGGCCATCATTCCGGATCCTCTTCTGAATTCAGCTTGGATGTCTAGGTGTTCCTTGTTGACTACGCTCCAGCTGCTTTTGAATTCTCATCAGCAAGGTTTTCCTTGTGAACAACACTAGTGATACTGTTTTGTAATTTTCGTATTCTGTTGAATCTTCTTTTGGAGAGGGCACAAATACTGATCTCTTCCAGCCGGTTGGCCGGGTAGCTGCCTTCCAAACTTCTTGGCACAGATGAATGAGTGCATCCAGAGAGCTTCATGTGTTTGTTAAAACACTTTAATTCTGCCTGTCAGTTCTGGAGCCAATTTCTTCAGTGCACTTGGGCTTCTTTCTTCAGTACCATTGATTCCTGAGCATATGCTACTTCCTGAAATGATTGGGCATCGGCCAATTCATTTCAGGATTGTGACTCTCTGTTTTCCTTCCGTCTTCTTCTGGTACTTCTGTGTCACTCAAGATTCCCATTTAATCTGTATGCTGAGCAAATTATTTGAGAGGGCAGACTCTATGAAGAGGAATGTAGCATTGGGTTTGGAGGAAGACTGATCAATAATCTACATTACACAGAGGACACAATCTTACTTGCTTGATAGTCAGAACAACTTGATTGATAGTGTCACAACCTTGATAATGAGAAGGACTTGAAGCACTCACTGCAAACGCTCAAAGGATACAGTCTTCAATATGGATTGCATCTCAATGTCAAGAAAAGAAAAATTCTCACCAGTGGACTTACAGGCAATATCGTGGTAGATGGAGAAAAGATTGAAAGTATCAATGAATTCTTTTTACTTGAATCCACAATCAA